TTGAAAAATTATAAAAAAACTATAAATAATTTAATTTTAAAAATTACATCTAGGTCTAAGAACTAAAAAATTATAAAATTTAAGATTTAAAACACTTAAGATCTAGACTCAGAATATTATCTAAGCCTAAAAACTAAAAAAATATAAATTATAAATATATTATATATTTTTAAATATATACTAAATTTATTTAAAAATTAAATACAGAATCTGAGATTTAAAATACAAAAAATCTAGATCTGAAGTATCATTTAAGCCTAAGAACTAGTATTTAATCTATTAGATAATTAGAAATTTTTTTTTTGGAATTAAGGTAAGATTATGCCTCAAGTCTGTTTATTTGAACATATTATTATAGTTTGTACAACTTTTTACATTATACAGTCAGACCTCCCTAAATGCATATTCCCTAAATGCATAGTCTATGAAAGACCTCTCTAAATGCATGGCCTTGTTTGTCTTCAACTCATATGACACTTATAGATTTTTACCTCCCTAAATGCAATACCTCTCTAAATGCAATATTTTTTGACTGCCCATGGCTATGCATTTAGAGAGGTCTAACTGTATATTATCTATTACTATATGCCTATTTAAGAAATAAGACTTAGACTAATTTATTTACAATCTAAATCTATCAAAGCTAATCTTGTATTCCATTTATACATAATCTGAATTTTTGTTTTACATCTGTCTATATTAAATAATCTGCATATTCCTCTTATATCTCATAACCTATTTTTAAACAACTTTCAAATTGGTCTACTGGGTTATTCACTTTTTATAAGCTACTGTTTTTGGTTTATCAGAACAATGCCTTACAGTTTATATTTTAAGCCAGAATCTTGTTGTCATTGCTAACTTTCCAATTTAGGTACTAGTAATATGTGTCTCAAGTCAAGTCTCTGCTGCTACTACTGGTTTGCATCTTTTTGATCTTATTATTATTATAAATAGGTTGTATAATCAACCTGCCTCTTTAGTACTTTCTTTTATAATAATAGTTTAAATCTGTTTTTTCAAGTTACTTTTTCTAGCTGTTACAATTATAATATTACTATTACTTCTAATTTGGAGTATTTTAATCTTAATTAGTATAGTATTTATGTTAATATGTTTATTTTTATATTGTTATAAACTTCTATATAGGTGTGACTAGAGCTTTGGCTTGGTATCTTTAGATATACAGAACAGATTGCTTTCTCTATATATTTTTTAGCTATCTTCTATATTAGAATATTTCACAGTGTCAGAGGTGCTTTTAATCTTAATAAGGCTAATTTTTTATTATAGCCTATTCTTATATTTATCACTTCTCTTACTATTTGAGTCTTGGTTACTTTTAGACTACTCTTTTAATTAAATTCTTTCTTTAGGTTCTAATTAGGATTTATTTGCACAATCTGTTGATTATCCTTCTAAGCAAATATTCTACAAGTTAAATGCAGAAATATTGGTACTTTTTAATTAAAAAATATAAGAACATTAGTACTGCTCTAGTCTAAAGGACTTATATATGCAATCTTTCCATAACTATAACTTTTGTAACAACTGCTTGTTACATATAGTGCCTACATTTCATAATTGGATCTTCTTCTGAAAATTCATATTTCTGTTATGTACTGCATTTGAACTTGACTACAGGGTTTTGCATTCAATTACAGGCTCTTTATTGAGTTACAGAAGCTAAAATTTTTCAATTTTTGCTTTTAGCTAGACTTGAATTATTGACCTTGACTATGAGAATATAAAAGCTTAACTGCTAAGTTATAGGACTTATATTTTTAAAATTTTATTTTGTATTTTCTTCAAATTAGTTAAATGTATTTAAAAATTAATGTTAAATAGTATATAAAATTTTTTTTAAAAAAAATATAAAAAAAAATATATAAACAATTTAGCATTATTATGTTTGAAATATTTAATTTTATAAATACTTAATAAAAAAATTAATATAAATTTTTAAACAATAAATATTTTTTTTAAAAAAAATTTTTTTTAATATTAAAAATAAAATCATACTTTTAATTTTATTAATATTTAAATAAATTTTATAGGATTTTATAATTTATTACACATGCAATATATTGCACCTTTTCTGTTATTTAAAAATTTTGTCTATAAAACTACTTTTGAAATATTAATAAAAAAATTTTCTGTAAAATTTTGATATATTCTATGCCTTTGCCTTATCTCAAACCTTAACACTAACTCTAATATTAATAAAATTTTATTTTTTGCTTGATAAAAATTTTTTGTTACACGAAATTAATAATCTTTATATAGTAAAATAGAGGTGCAATAAATTATAAAATCCAATTTTATAAAAAAAAACAATTTTAAATTATATATAAAAAATAAAAACTTAAATATATAATTTACAATATAAACATATAAAATAAAAAATTTTAAAATTTTTAATAGCAATTAAATATTATTATTATTATTAACTTGTTTTTGTTAATTATTATATAAGAATATTTTTAACTTGTATTAATAGTTATAAATAATTATTATTATATTTTGAAAACTGTACTATAAAACAGTAATTGGATATATTAAATAAAAATATTTAGTATTTCTAAAAACCTTATAAGAACTAAGATTAAGACCTGATATCTGATCTAATTATATTATTTAAAAAATATTTTATATAAAATTTTCTATTTATTTTAAAGCTATACTTCAACTTTAAGTTTTAATAAAAGTAGTTATTTTTAATCAATAGTGCAGATTATAATAATTTATTATATAAATATAATTTTTTTTTATTAGTTTATTAATAATTTTTAAGTAAATATTTATTATTATTTATTTATATAATAAATTTTTATTTTGATATTAATTAAGCTAATAAAACAATAATATTATATTAATTGCTTTTGCTTCAGACTCATCATAATTTTTGTTTTCTAGTTTAATTTATCTGTCTATTTCTTTAAGAATGTTTCATAAGCTATTATCTCTTTAATCAAGATTTTTAAATAAGTTTCTAATTTTTTAGTTTCTTTATTTTTTGTATCTAATAATTGTATTATAAGTTTATACTAAAATCTTATACAATACTGATTATTAATATTCTTCTATATATATGTAATGTTATCTTTACATAGATACCTCAAGTTCTTATTTAAGATGATATAACTGAAGATTACAGATACATTAATTCAACTAATCACAAAACAGTTGCTATAATACAGATATAATTTCTAAAATTTGTTATTTATAAAATTTAAATACTAGAAAATTTTTTTATTTTAATTTTAAAATTATATAAAATTAAAATAAAAAAAATTAATAATCAATAAAATAGATGTTAAGATATTTAAGATTAAAATCAAGTAAACTTATATTTAAAAAAATTTTGTTCATTTTCTACTAACTTACTTTTATATTAATTTGACTAAAGTTTGAAATTTGGGCGCAAACAAACTCAAACCATAGTAGTTTGGAATTTGGCCAGCAAGTATACCTGAGGCACCTCATCTGACGATCGATATCTGAGGAGCAAAACATTTATTTTCAATACTTCAGCACCTACTTTATTGATATATCTAAAATTTCTATACTAACTTTTATTATAAGGCCATATAAACTTAATAAATTGGTTCTCATAACATAAAATTTTTAAAAGTGACCCGGCAACCCGGCTTTTAATTTTATTTTCAAAAAATTTTATATATAAAAAACATATAAAATTTTTTATAGACTTTTTTAAAAAACTCATCCGGATAGTAAGTATACTTGAAAATTTTTTTAGAGTTTTGTAAATTTCGACCCGGCTGGGTTATGAGAACCAATTGATTAAGTTCGCATGGCCTAATAACGTGCGATCTTATTGGTTATTTTTAGATGTATCAAAAAGGTAGATATTGCATCGGCTGTCAGCTGAGGCACAACATATATATATAAAAATATCCCTAACTAAATTATAATAAAATATATAGATTTCGCTTACAACTACTTTTATTTAAATATATTCTATTTAGCCTGTTAAACAGCATCCTTATTTTTAAGATCTGTTCTCTAATTTTAGTGAGCTGTTACCTAATATAGTTAATAATTAACTCATTTTTTGAATGAGACGAAATCTCGTCATATAAGTACGTACGTACATACGTACGTAATCCTATAACGAATTATTGTACAAAAACAAGAGATGTTCAAGCTAAGATCTGCAGTCATGTTTTTGTTTACAGTGTATTTTTAGCGCCTTTCAGATTAATTTGGAACAGGCTTAGTAAGTAATTTAAAAAAAACGAAAGTTATACAAATTATCTTACTAACATTTTGTTTCAATATTATGGAAATAAATAAATGAGTCAAATGAATGATGAATAATTGGTAACTTTTTGTAAGGGATAAAACGCTTATATATAAAAGTCGTTTCATCTTATATGTATTTTATTTTTATTTACTTTGAGCTGCGTTACATATGTTACGTGCTATGTATCCTGTTTGCATCTTGCATTTTCCATTGTTTGCTTCCTTTGTACGTACGTATGTACCTCAACTCCTTTCAATGAAAATCTTAGCCCCTTATATATAAGGGCTCCGTTGCCCTATTTTTTTCTCTTTGACAATTTTTTTGTTGTCCTTTTTCCCCCCAAGATCTGAATTTATGTGCCTCTAACGTTGACTAAAATCTTCGTAAAATTCATTTTATAAACGTCATTTTATACTTGCGATCTCTTTGATATTAAATAAGCATTCAGTGTGATTATATTTTTTTTTTGTTGACTCAAAAGTTGAATCTATTTCACACTCTCCTTGAATTTTTTAAACTTAATTAAATATTCAATTTCTTTATTCTACGAAACGAGTGCTCTAGTTAGATAATTTTACTTCAGTTCCTAGTTACAAGTTAAATGTATATATAAAATTGTTGACCTTAACAATTTTTTCAATATTGTGGGTTCTTTTAATATTCGTTAGTTAATTATCACGTTTGGTATATAGCGAATTCTCTGGACTATTTATCTTCTCTAAGTCTTTTAAAAATGTCGTCATTGACGGGGTGCTATTTCGATCCCTCTGAACGAGTTGGTAAATTCATCGATAATGGGTTATTAGAGATAACTCATATTCTCGGTGTAGGAGCATATGGGGTGGTTTACTCAGCGAAAAATGTCCTTAATCAACGAGTTTATGCTGTGAAATGCATGCCGAAAGCAAACATAGATGCACAACAGCATAGATTACATCTTACAGAGATTAATCTTCACGCTCAAGTTACCGGTCATCCAAATATCATTAGCCTAGAAAAGATTATTGATATCACAGATTCTTTAAATGTTGTTCTTGAATACTCTGATGAAGGAGACTTATTCTCAATGATTACCGAAAAAGGGCTATATCTTGGAAATGACGACCTTATAAAACAGGTTTTTGTGCAAATTCTGGATGCTGTCCAGTTTTCACATTATCATGGCATTTATCATCGTGATTTAAAACCAGAAAATATTCTTGTTTTTGACGATGGAATGACTGTTAAAATTGCAGATTTTGGTTTAGCAACAACAGATACTTGGTCGAAAGACTTTTGTTGTGGGTCAACTTATTATATGAGCCCAGGTAAATTGGTTTTTTTTTTATCTTTCGATATTAGATAACTTTAAACTTATCAACGTTCGTTTTCAAACGTTTAGAATGTCAAGGTGGACTTTACGAGCGGGTATCGGGTTACGCGACAGCACCCAATGATGTCTGGTCATTGGGTATTATTCTCATTAATCTTGCTTGTGGTCGTAATCCATGGAAACAGGCCTCTCTTAGTGATGAAACCTTTTCAGCCTATGTCCAAAATCCAGAGTTTTTAAAGACTATCCTTCCAATTTCTGATGAGCTTAACGAAATTTTAAAAGACGTTTTTGCCCTCGATCCTGAGAAGCGCATAACATTAAGTGAATTTAAAGAACGTGTGTTAGAATGCCATAGTTTTATCATGCCAGAATTTGCTACGTTCTGTGAAATGCTCGTTGAGCAAGAAATTGATGTACCTCCAACAATTTCACATGACATGTGCAGTCAGTCTTCAACGTCTTCTGCATGTTCATGGTATTCCATGAATTCGGAGATGGATTTTTCTATTCCTCCAGCCGAATTTTTGGACGACTATGATCGTTGCTCTGTTTCAACGGGTTCCACCTTTATATCAACATTAGCATCCAGTCAGCCTGACTTGATTAAATGTTTCGAGAATGATTCAATAATTAATTTGAAGTGTGGTAGTCTTATAATGGATAACCATCTCCTTCGAACCAATTATATATTTTAAATGAACCTACAAATGTCAATTTACCTGGAGGTTATATATATAACTTTCTTTATACTTCACATTTTATTAAATTACCCACCCTCTAATTATAATATTTTGCGAAGAAAAAAAAAAAAATTCAATTTAAACACCAAAAAAGAAGTCGGTGCATCATGTGCCAATGCTCTCTTTATATTTATTAAATTTATGTTAGCAAATTTTTATTTCAAGTTATCATTATTGTAAATATTTTTCTACCTCATTTATTATTTTAGGGAAAAAAAGGGGTACATGACAAAAAAAAAAGAGAAAAAAAATTGTATATAGAGAGTTTTGGGATTATTCATTTATTATTTGATTTTTTGGTGGTTAAAAGATTAACGAAAAATAAAAAATTACTTACTGGTTAGGTAACAAAAAAATATATATATTTATGATGTTACTTTTTACCAAAATGCTTGACGTATTACTTTTTTTTAAAAAAAAGTTTAATGATAAAAATGTATTACTTTTTTTTTTTACTACTTTTTAGTTATTTTATTATAATAAAAAAATTTTGATCTTGTGGTTCATATTTGTTTTACTAAATATTTATTTATAATACATCTTTTACATGATTTTTGTAAAGAAATTTACAGTTAACACTTATAAACTCTGCATATGAGAAAAGTAGGCTTCGATCATACAAGTTTTATTTGATTGAAATTTGATTTTCCCTTGGCGTCACCCATACATGCTAACTTATACAGGGGGATCCCCAAAATTCCGGGTCTGAATACTTCGGAATCATGATTGGCAGGGCCGAAATTAACTAATTTTGCCCAAGGTCACTATAAGTTTTACTAATGAAACCATAGCTCACTCATTAAGTAAAGCTGCCCAGTTGATAATTTTGGCCCAGAAATGGTTAACTTGTATTACTAAATGCCGGTCTAAATCTGATGGTTCCGACCCGGAATTTTGGGAATCCCTTTGTATGAGTTATTAGCAATGGTTTGTTAACTCATATTGGAAGGTTTTCACATTTTCGAGGGTTGGGCAAAGTAATTTATTAAGGGTAAAGAACACGTAAATCATTTTTATATAGTGTTGTATAGCATATTAAAATTTTCATCTAAAATTAATATTGGTTACTAATAAAATATTTTTTATTTTTTTATTTTTTTATTTTAAATATTAAGGTGAGTACTTGTAATCTAGGATTTTATTAATAGTACATTCAGTTAATAGTTACATTACAACCACAAAAAGCAATCATAAAAAGAATGTACAATTAGATATTTGTAAAACTTTAGTTATTATCTAATTTATATAGTTTGCCTGAAGGTTTTATATTAGTTGTTATATCTGAAACTTGCTTATAAGTTCCTTATTTAAACATTCTAGTTTCTGTATTTATCTGTTTATCTACATTTGGTTGATACTAGTAAAAATATATCATAGTCATTAAGTCTTTAAAGCAGTTTACTTATATAAAAAATTTTTGATTTTGTACTAAACCTTTTAAAATCTTCTGTATCTTATTCTTATAATTAATCTAATAATTGTTCAGAGCATAGTGGAGGATGCTCAATTTCTATGCAAGGTGATACAAAAGTTATGTTTTTGATGCATCAAAAGTATCTTTATTGATGCTTTAATAATAAAAATATCAAAAACGTAACTTTGAATTTTCTGTCTGTCTCCACTTGCATATTCGTGTAACACAACAAATCTCATGTGATATTGCTCCAGACTTATAACGGTTTCTGTTTTCTAGTATTATAATTAAAACCAATACTTGCAATCAGAGTATATTATTAAATTATTATATCTTTATAGAGTTTATTTTAATTCTAATATTTATTTTATAATATATTTTTACTACTTTGATATTTAATTCAAATTTTATTAAGCTCTTAGTCTAAATAATCTAGTAAGGTAAATACAATTATTTTTTAGTTTATATATTTTTTTGACATATAATTTGTTTTTTCAAAACAGATTTTGGTAGTTGGTTAGTTACAACAGTCTTTTTCAAAGACTAACTTATCTTCAATCAGTTTTATAAATTTTAATTCTATTTTATAAATTTAGTCTTTATAATAATATTATTAAAAATTCAAATTATTTTTCTATTTAAAAGTTTTAAGTAAACTTTTATCTTTTTAGTTTCTGTGATTTACATAATTACAGAAACTTATTATAAATTTATACTACTTGGTACTGGTTTGTGTTTCTTTATACAAGATACAACTATTACACAAATGTTATATGATCTTTTAATTATACTAGTATAATATAGATAACAGATATTTGATTTTAATCAATAGTAAAAGACAGTTAATTATAATATAGAAAGAATTTTAAATTTTTATTAACATTGAGATTTAAACTTTAGACCTGTTATTTAAAAATTAATAATATAACTATTTTACTATATATACTATTATATTCTAAACACTTTTTATTTTTTAATTAATTAATAAAAAATTTTATAAGGGGTGTAGTGACCTAGTGAAATGGTCAGATTGTCAATCTTCCAAATGGCAGGTTGGATGTTTAAATCTCATCGACAATGAAAATTTGGATAATCATCTATGTAATATTTATATTATGGCAACTGTTACTAACGATTGGGTTAGGATACCTGTAATGGTAGTCATACCAGCATGACTGGCAGGTCAAGGGGCATCTGTGTAAGTATGGCATTACACAGAAGAATGCAAACTGACAAATCGGATGGTACAAACACTAGATAAGTCCTTGTGGCTGTATAAATCTATTAAAATTGGATAACAAGAAGTTCATTTGGGAAGACCTAAATAAAGAGGTAGCTGGATTTTCGATGGCCCTACTGTAAAGGCTAGCTCAGAGAAACAAATACCAAGGTTGTAGTACCTGGTTGTAGTAGTCAGATGGGCAAGAACCTCCAGGTTGAGAGTCTCAGGGGTATCACCAACCAGGTTACCAGAATGTACCAGAGGAAAAAGATATTGGGCTGACCTGATATATCAATGAACTGGTTATAGTCCTATATAGGCTATCTGGATTGAAAGTTTGGTAAAAAGGCTGAACAAAAGGCAGGGTATACTAAAGTACTGAGGTTATGCTGTAAAGTAGATGCTAAGGTCTAAATAAACTCTACAAGGGCATAGCAGTTTAATGGTTAAGCTCTAACTGCAAGTATTGGTTCTGCTATAGTAATACTTAGATCAATTGTAAAAATGAGTACAGAAGACTCTGGGGAGTTTATCTCAAAGATAAATTAGTTCTAAAGTTGAGATGATGATCTGGGCATCTGAATATGACCTAGTGAGTTAATACAAATTACAGGTTCAAAGGATTTAAAGTAAAACATCTAAGCAGAAATGTTAGATATAACAATTGGTAAGAAACCTTCAGATAGACTTCTTAAATAGATAATATAAAAAATATACATATGTAACCAATTGTATGCTCTTCTGTAGTTGTTTATTGAACCACAATACCAATAAGTGATTAATAAAAATCAAAAAATCAAAGAAGTCATCTTTAAATCAAAAAAAAAAAAAATTTTAATACAAAAAATTCAAAATATAATTTTATTAGCTTAATTATAATATTAATTTTTTTTTCAATATTATAAAAATTATTATTATAACTATAAAAAAAACTTTTTTTATAAATTATTTTTTTATAAATAAACAAAAACAACTAATTATAACAAGACATATTTGGAATATTATAATTAAAAATAACTTGTATAATAACAAGAAACAAAGCTTTTAAAGATTAAACAAAATAGAGAAACAACTTTCTGCACTTTAGTCTTCTTTACAATTTTGTTACCAATTATATTAATAACTAAAGTAAACAATAATAATAATAATAAATTAATAACAAAGCATACTTGGCAGAAACTTAAAAGAAAAAAGCATAGATCTGTTTATTAGTTCAGAGTAAAGTGAAGAACTCTATATTATTCTGTAAAGAGTAATATGCAAAGTTTGTTTGTTTAGTCATATTATGTAATAATTGTTTAATCAAATCAATCAAATTATAATATATAACATTATATGATCATATTAAATATCATATATATAACAAATAATAAGCAATTTTTTGTTATTTGCCTAATAATGTAAATATATTAGTAATTTTTATGCTTTGTATTTTATAATATAATTATAAGGTTAATGACATAAAAGATATTGTATAAGCAAATAAAAAAAGAAAAACAAATACATATATGTTTGACTACTAATTTTTTTTAAAAGTCTTTAATATATATTTATATATGTCAAAATAAAATACAAATATAACATTGTTTGCCTTTAATTGCAAATTTATATATATTATATTACTGTAAAAAATTTGATTTTCAGCATTATCATTATGTATTAAACTGCAGATATATATTAAAATGTTCATATTAATGCCAAAATTTTTAAACTTTTATATACATATTATTTTAAAACATTTTTTTTTGTTAGTTATCAAATTTCTCTTTGTCAAGTTTTTTTTAGAAAAAATTGTTGGTTAATCATATATGCTGCAGCTGTACTGTATCTTGTTACAGCACTTTTTTGTTGCACATTCATAATTTGTGATAGGTTAAGCTACTGATTTTAATTGCTGACTTAGATCATAATAAAAAGCTAAGCTTATTATTACAAAATTAAATATATAAAAATGATTTGTTATATTTAGACTATTTTTAAGTTTTTGTAATTTTATAAATTAATTTTTTTTATTTAACATAAGTAAAGTGCAAAAATTAAAAGTTTAAAATAACCTTTTGACTTCTATAAAACTTACTATAAAAGAGAACTAATTTTTAAGAAAGTGCTAATTATATAATTTTTGATAAAAAAATACTTATAAAACAGAATTAAGAAAATGAATGTGAATGATATTTTTGGCAATATTTTATTTTTAGTTATTAATTTAAGCTGCCAAAATATTAGGCCAACATTATGAACCATATTAAATAAATTCAAAAATCAGTATAATATAATAAGAATAAAATTATTTAAATATTTGTTTTTATAATTTTAGTTATAACTGTTCAATCTAAAGTGCTGTGAAAATATAAGTTTATGAATAAATGAGATAGAAGAAACAAGAATTCAGCACTATGAGTTACTTTTATTTGAAAAAGATAGAATTAAATAAAAAAGAGTATCTTTTAAAAAAGAATGTATTAAACAATAAGAAATAAAATATTGTTTGCTTTGCTTAAAATAATTAATTTTAAAAAGTTTTTATTTTTTATATAAATATTTGTTTAGTTAATATTAAAAAAGCAATTTTTGAATTTATAAGTTATTTTTTTTATAGTTTATATCTTACTTAGAATATAATCAGATAGTAATTAAAATTAGTAGCTTAACCTATTACAGATTACAGATATACATTTTTGGTTATTAAACATATAAGTATAAAAATCTATACTACTACTTTTATTTTTTATACTATATACAAACTTATATAAAAAAGAAATATACAAACTATGACACTTATTCTATTGAACTTACTTGCTTTTTTTCAATTGAAATTAATTGCTTTTCTTTATTTTTTTTTTTTGCAATCTTTTACAAACTTTAATATACTGAAGTCTTTTAAAAAAAAAATTGTAAAAGAAGATTTCTAAGAGCATAGACTCAAAATAATGCTACAAATGAAAGACCATCAATAAATTCTCTGTATTCAAGATCTATTATGGCTTTTGGCAAAGTAAGTTTCTGACTTTTGTAAACAGTAATTGCCTATGCAAGACAAATAGAAATTTGCAAGTGTAAATAGCATATGTCAGTTTTACTTTTTTAATTATATTTAATTAGCACAATAAAGACAACTTCTTTATCATTTAGAGCAGTAATTATAAGGCTATTATAGTTATTTAAAAAGATGAAAACTGCTATTAAAAAGTAATGTGATCCATTTTTATCAAACAGAATATCTTGTACTGTTCTTATTATTTTATTAACCAAATCACTTTTTTTTACAAATTTGTAGTTAACATAATATATGCATCTTTAGCTAATAGTAATTGTGCTTTAAGGCCTTTTGCAATATCTGAATCAGTACTCTTTGCTTCATGATTACTAACAGAATGTACAGTAAAAACTTTTGCAACAAGACAATTTAAAGATTTGAGTCTGTTCAAATTAACTATATTAACTTCAAACCATGTTAACAGAATTAATATAAATTTTAAAAATTGTTTTTATTTTGTATATGAAAGTTTGTTTTTAAGTCTTGTAATAAGTACTTGCCAATCTTCTAAAATAGATTTTCTATTATGTAATCTTAAAAGAATGTTCCTAAAATATTTTTGTTTTTTAGAGTTTTTAAATTGGTGCTAAATTATATTAAGTTTGTACAACTCCTAAAACTGTTTATAAACTGCAAGACTATTATTAGATAATAAATCTCACAAAACAGTAACATATATAGAGAGATCAAGAATAAGTGAAAGCTAACCAAAGTTACCAAACAAAATAAAAGATTTTTTACCAAAGAGTTTGTTGTTGTGCTTTAGAAAAGCTTGATGCAATCATCTATTAATCATAGCAAGCATTCTGTACTCAACCATGCTTTTTTTATCTATAATAATATATTTAACATTTTTTAACCTTTGCTGTAACTGTTTTAGCTATTTGCTATTTATGCTAAGGTCATTATTACTATTTCTTATTAGTATTAAAAGAGCTAAATGAATTGTTTTCTCTTCAATATTAAAGGCTACAACACCTGTTAAGAAAAAAATAATTATAAATATTTTGAATTCTTTTGCTATTTTATAGAACCTTTTTCAAAACATTTTAATAAGCAAAGATTTTCTAATTCCAGCTGTTTTTGTTACTATTATTCTTAATAGCTTAATGTAAAATTCTCAAAAACTTTACAGTAATATGACTTTATTTGCTTAAAAATAATATTTTGTTTTTCATTCAAAATCATATTATTTATAATTTTTTTAACTTCATTTATTTTATTATAATCACTTCTTAAAATATTTTGCACAAAAATACTAGCATTTAAAAAATCACTAATATTATAATATAGTTTAGCATTACTAAGCCAGTCATAACTTTAATCTATATAGCAAGATCCCAGTTTAGAGAAATCATTAATAATTATATTTGAATCTATTTCTGAAAGAAACATCTAATTAGGTTTAAATTCATCTTATTGGTTATCTTCAAGTTTATCTTTTTAACTATCTTTTTCACTAATATTATTCTCTTTATTATCTACAGAAGGTCCAAATAGATCAATTAGATCTGAGTTAATTTCTTCACTATAGTGATCATATAGTGCTGATTATAAGATGTTATTATTCTTAGTTAACTGTTGAAAATCTTTATATCAAACATGAAGAACTTTTACATAGCAGAACTCTTTTCAGTGAGAACCTCTATATATAAATGCTAAATATAGCCAGATGCATATTATATTTTCTTGCTTGTATTTAATCCAATGATTATTAACAAATTTATAATATAAATTTAGGCAAAATAATGAAAAGTTCTCAAATTTTATAGGTCTGTTCTAATAAATTTTTAAAGAAGAATTAGCCATTTATCTTACATCATTAGCTGCAAGCAACTTTTTATCATTTTTTATGTTGCCTGTATTACAAAGCTATTATGATGCCTTCTTATTAAGATTCAAAGAAATAAATATATAACTAGAATAGTAAAGAAAAAGGTTAAGAAAAAGATGACAGATCTCTTAAGCAGAGATATTCTGTTCTGCAATGCTATAAAGCAGAAGCTTTTGTATTGAGATCTGTAATAATCATAAGGTCTACTATTATGAAAGATTTAATTAAATATTTTAGTAAAAGCAAATGATTAAGGCTCTGATTTGCTTACATATTTAGAAATATATTGAAGGGCTATATAAATGCTAAAAATTGGCTTTAAATCAATGTTTGCTCTCCAACTTTGCAACTAAAGTCTGCTATGTAGGTTTATTAGTAGATTATTTCTTACTATTATGAGTTCTGGTTGTTCATGTTCATTATTATGCATAATAGAATGTTTAAAGTTATTTATTAAATATTCAAATCTGCAGATTTGTTAACCTCTTTGATTAATATAAAGGCAGTAAAAAGGACTACATTATATAACATTGTAACTTATTAATTAGGTTAATATAGTTTTAAAGATTATTATTTAACTTATTATGATGTTTTTGGTATAGATGATGATCAGGTATAGGTAAGTTAATCTATGGATTAATTTTAGTAACTAGAGAATCAAAATATTGTACTATACTATTTATTGTATTTTTATTTTTTTTCATTTAAGTCTATTTAATAGCAGATGCATTTTATATCTTTCTAATACTATGCATATAAGCATTACTATAATGCTATCATTCAAATCTATACTACTAGCCTTCTAAATTTTATTGATGTTTCAGCACATTATCAAAGAAAGTTTCAAAGTATTTGTAAAAAAACTAGGCTGCAATATGTAGGTTTTTAACAAGATTTTTATGTTAAAACTATGCAGCTTTGATATTTTCTGAGTTTTCAACTGATAGCATTAAATTATGCAGCTCAGGACAGTGCAAGTTAGCTAAGCTAAATGTAAAAAATATTATCTTTTGAGAGCTCAGCTGTTTAATCATATCTGACAATTTATATTTTCTTGCTTTTTAAAATTGTCAAGAGGCTTACAAATTTATACCAAAATGCATTACTCAATTTGCTATATGTTTGTCTTCTGTGGCAATTTTTTCTTGAATGTTTGCAACTGTAATCTCTGAATCTGTTAAATTTTGTTTAATATATACTTTTTCTTCTTACAAAGCTTATCATCTTATTTGAGAATTTAATGCAAAATACTGCTAATAACTATAATATGCAAATTTTCAATCTTTGTATTAAAGCAGATGCTTAAAATATTTAGCTAGTTTAACATCTCTAATATGCTTTGCACAAAAGTTTGCTTAGCCAGTTAGAAAAAATGTTAAGAATGTATATACAATATAGTCTAAAGTCTAGAACTCATTTATAAAGCTATTATTAATATGTAGCTATATCAGAGATGAATTCTCAGTTTGTATGCAATTAAGAATATTATTAATAGTAATATTTTCATTATAAAATAAAAGAAGTATAGGAACAAAAGTTCTTGTAACTATATTATCTTTAGGTTTATTTTCATTATCTTCCAAATTCTTATTAATTTAATTAGTTTAAATTTGTTAAAGCTAATCAATAATAAAGCAATTATTAGGCAAGAATTAAAAAACCTTATTATCAATTAAAATATTATTATAATATTGATTATTAGCTTTTAACCAATATAATGCACCTGCAACTTTATTATAGTGAACTGTAAAATCTTTGAATAATTCTAAACTTTCTACAGATTGGTGTTAAATAACAAGTATCTCTAATGATAATAGGTAATGAAAGGTTTATTAATGAACTTTTTTATATCTTAAAGAAAGTTTATAATATTTCTTTGATATTTATACTATTTTTTTTTTTTGGTATTAAGATAACCTCTTTGGTCTTTTGACTTTTATTAATTACTTATCAGTATTGTAATTTAATAAACTATTACAGAAAAGCATACAATTGGCTACATGTATAACTTTTTTATATTACTTATTTAAGAAGTCTACCTGAAAATTCTTTACCAATTGCTGTATCTAACATCCCTGCTTGGATGTTTCACATTAAACCTTCTGAACCTGTAACCTGTATTAATATTACTAGGTCATATCCAGATGCCCAGATTATCATCTCAATCTTAGAACTAATTTATCCTCAAGGTAAATCTTCTAGAGCCTTCTGTATTTATTTTTACAGCTAACTTAGATATCACTATGGCAGAACCAACATTTGTGATCAGAACTAACTATTAAACTACTATACTATGCCTTTGTAGAGTTCACTTAGACCTCAACATCTACTTCATAGCATAATCTCAGTACTTTAGTATACCTCTGCATTTTTACCTGTTTTTTTACCAAACTCCTAATCCAGATAGCCCATGTAAGACTACGACCAGTCATTAGTATATCAGGTCAACCTGATATCCTTTTTCTCTAATTTGTTTTAGCAGCCTGATTGGTAGTACTCCAAAGACTTTTAACCCAAAAGTTCTTGCCCATTCAGTTACTACGACTGGATACTATGACCTTGGTATCCATTTCCTTAGGCTAGCTTTTACAGTAAAGCCATCAAAGATCTAGCTACCTTTCTATTTGGATCTTCACAAATAGACTTCTTGTTATCTAATTTCAACAGATTTACATAGCCACAAGAACTTATCTAGTGTTTGCACCACCTAATTTGTCAGTTTGCATTTTTTTGTATAATGCTATACTTATACAGATGCCCTATAACCTGCCAGTTATACTAGTACAACTGCTATTACAGATATTCTAACCTAATCATTAGTAACAGTTGCTATAATATGAATATTACATAGGTGATTATCTAAATTTTTGTGGTTGATGGAATTTAAACACCCAACCTACCACTTAGGGAGTTGCAACCTGACCACTTCACTAGGTTACTACACTTCCAAATTTATCTCTAAGTTTATATACTGCCATTATTATAAAAACTTTTATGATTAACATTTCTTCTATTTCAGTTAAATCCTTAAGCTTTTTGGAAATTTTATCTAAATTTATATTATTTTTATTAGAAAATTAGTTTGGCAAAAGTTTTTTAATATAACAGTAATGAAATTTTTTAAGACAAGTACTAAGAATAGTAAACATTTATTGCAGACAAAACAAAAAATACATTGAAGCCTATCTATTTTATTACAAAATTTCTTTAAAAGATCTTGTTCAATTTTACTTATATTAGTTGCAAAAAATTGTTCTATTTTCTGCTAAGGTTTAGAGATTTGTTTTTGCACTTGATTTGCATCTAATTCTTTCTTTTGTTTTGTTATTTCATATTGGCATTTTAGATGATGTTTACACTTCTCTACAGATTTCATTTCTAACCTTTTTTGTTTATATTCATATTTTTATCTAAGCTAGATTTTACTTTTTCAGAAGATTCTAGTACTCTTTTTTGGTACTTTTGTTTATGTTTTTTTAGTAAGATGTGCTTTATGTTTTTTAGATGTTTTGTTTTTTTTGTTTTGGTATTTTTTAAGCACATTTTTACTAACAGATTAGTTATTTATTTTATAGTAATAAAAAAAATTGCAAACTAAATTTAGTAATTATATAAAACTGAAAATTTCTTAATTTATTTAGTTTTACTAATTTATTTTGTATGCTTTTTAATATAGAATTTTGGTTTTTTTCAAAAAAGGAAATAAATGCCTGATAGTATATGCAGAGTAATAAGCTTTTTTTTTATTATTATTAAATAATGCTCAAATAGAAACTTTATTACATATAGAAATATAAGTTCTAAATTTAAAGATTTCTAAGCTACATTAGTGCTACAATTAGGCACCCAATATAATATTATATCTCCTATTTCCTATAAGTGCTATAGCTAATTATTTCAAATTAAGTTCTAGCTAGGATAGGTTGAGGAAACCTTTGAATAATTGTCTAAATATTAAATTATACAAGTTGTTAGAAAGTATCTCTGTAAGAGCCATTTTGTAATTAAAGGTTTGATATTTATAAATTAAGAAAGAGTTTTAGTATTGTTTGAAAAATTGGATAATGTTAATAGACTAATTTTGATATGTTTAAACTTTAATGTGATGTTGCAAAAGTTTTCACATTGGTGTTAATATATATTACAAATAAATCAAAGATCTTGGTAATACTAGTTAAGTAAATTGTTTGAAAGATAAAGTAGAAAAGTATTTATTTGTTTATTGATAAGTGTTTTAATGTTTTCATATATAGTAGTAGAATAAGTTCTAGTAATAGTGTATAAAATATATTTGTATTGAGAATTTAGAAAATAAAATATAAAATTTAGAAGGATATTTAATAGAGTTGTTAAGATTGTATTAGTAATTTAAAGTGATTGAAGAATGTTATATATAATGTTTTTGAGTAATTGTAAAATATTTGTAGTATTGCTAAGGCATGAGAACAAGTAAAAAGTATCTTTAATATTTATGTAGTAGAAACAATAAGGTGTAGTATAAAGGTAAGAATAACAAATATTAAGATTTTGCATAGTAGATAAGTTATTAGCAAGAATTTTAATATGAAATAAGTATTTAGATAAGTTATCTTCAAGAGAAGAGATAATTTTAAATAGAAGAGTCTATTTAATATTGGTAATATTTTAAAAAAACATTAAATTTGACCATTTGGCAATTTCTTGAATAGTTATAATGTTTTTAATAAAGGTGTGAACTTTAAAAAGAATTAGAAGATTGTTTTATAAGAAGTAATTTGAAGTATTGAATTTTAAAATATTGAAATTAATAGTAGATTTTAAGGTTTCTTGTTTAGCAAGTGAGTCTGCTTAGTTGTAAAATAAGTCTGTAGAATGTGATTTGACTTTATAAAAAGTGGTAGTAATATTTTTGAAATATTTAAAATAATTAATATAGTAGATGATATCTTAGTTTTTAGTTTGTATAAGTTTGAAAATGATAAGTTGTTTAAGATTTTTAATGACAGTTATGTTATTAATATAAATATTTAAAAAAATATTAGATAAAGTTGCAAATAAAAGATAAAGAACTGCTTTAAATTTAGTATAAGTTGAGTTAGAGTAAGATTGTATAGCTGTATTGAATTTTATTGATGTGTCATATTTGCAAATTTATCCTATACCAGATTTTACATCTGAAGTTTGAAGATTTTTAATTAATCTATCAGTATAGAAATGTAGATTTTTGTATCAAATTGGAAAATAAAGTAGTTAAAATCAGTTAATTGTTTTTGATATATTAATAAATAAATAAATTGTTAGATAAGTTAAGCATTATAGAATAATAGAATTATTTGTGATTGTAATAAAAAAGGTGGTTGAGAGGAAGTAAAATTATATATATTGATTAAAGCTAAAATTTCTTTAAAATCAATTTGAATGATTGTTTGATTATTTGATTTGTTACTTAGATTATAAAGTAAATAGAAGAAGTGATAGTTTGGTGTAGAGTAATCAGAAGTTGAGAGAAGCTATAAGAGACCTAAAGAAGATGAAAAATTTTGAAGAAAGAAAGTTACTGAAGAGTGGTTTGATAAGAGATATAGAATAGTTGATTATTTATATAATGAAGTTAATAAAAGGAAAAAGAGTTTAAAAATGAGTAAAGTAATAAGCTTAAGTATGCATAATATATATATATTGTAATATTAAAAAGTGTGTTCTATTTTGAAAATCTTTTATAGAAAGATTACTAAAATTTCAGTTTAGAAGTCATCAAGTGCAGAGTCTGTATTAATTAATACTAGCCAAGCAATTCTATAGCAAAATCATTAGCTAAGCATTTTTATTTAATAAATTTGCTATAATTTTATTAGTAAAATTTTGGTAACTTAGACAAAATTAATTAATTTCTGCCTATCTGATCATGATTTTAATGCATTATAGCCTACAGAAGAGATCATTAATGTTATTTATTTATTTTTTTTTTTTAACCTTAGGCAGTTACGTTAGTACTTTATTAAGATTCTAGAAACTATAAAATTACATAGAAATTCCTAATATCTAAGTCCAGCATCACCCGGCCA